ATATTAGCTGAAAAATGTAGCTTGCCCAGTGGTGTGTTTTTTAAGGAGAGAACGTCCCAACTTCCCTGCACTGTGTGGGTGAGTACCCACCAATGCATCAAGCATGGTGCCTTTTCAAATAACCACTACTGGTGTGGGACAACTGAGTTTGACAAAGCCTGGAATGGATTTCGGAATGGAGCCTGCTGTCCTTGGAATGAGCAATAAAAAGAAGGTAAAGGAGAAAAAAAGGGAAACAAAGTGTGCAAAAGAAACTTTAAAACACGTCCAATATCAATAAAAATAACATTTAAAAGATTTATTAACCAACTTGACAGGACTTAGTTATGTGTCTTGTGACACAAAAATGGTTTGTAAGGTTGTTGTTTTTTTTTCTCATTCTATAATAACTTGTGTCACAATCTTAAGAAACATGTGAAAAAAGGGAGTCTAAATACTTCCTAACAAATTTTAGACATTGCATTTTATATAATGCATTCAGCACAATATATTATATTTTATTGGTAAGATTTGAATGATAACAACTAATTATCTTCAGTACAAAATGTTTAAATTAAATCAATTAAAAGAATGCTACATCTATATTTTCCCACTAGGCACCTATTAGAACCCTCAACATGGATGATTTATTTATAATAATTATTATTGATAATAAAAAAAAGATGACTATTCATAGATTGTTATGTACAAGCAAAAAGTGTAAAAAAAAAAAAAACTAGTTAAAAAACAAACAAACACAAGACTGAATGAAGTGTAAAGTCACACCCATTAACTGGTTCTGGTCAGTTTCACAGGCTTTTAGGTGTAGCTGGACTCATGTTTCAAGGACCATCAGACACAGACTTATCCAGGACATGGGCTACAACTGTTGCATTCCTGATGTTAAACGAGTCTTGAAGCAGAAACAATGACAGATGTGACCTACTAGCAGAACAGAGAAGAAAATGACCTCATTGTTGCTCAATGTCCCAAAGTCCTCTTCCTAATTTAAGTTCTTTTTTTTTTATTGGAAAATCAAGTCTGGAAAAAGAGTAGGGAGACTACAAAGGTGCAAGAGGTCATAGGTGATATTTTTTTAAGCCAGTGATGATTTGACGAGCCATTTTGTCTGCTAGCCTTAGTCCACTCACTGTGGTTTATGTTGTCCAAAGAAAAGCCATCAACTCGCTTGATGTTTTCCTCTACTAACTTAATTAGCAGCTGAACTATAAACCAACCACAACACCAAATATACCAATTCCAGGTTTAAGCCTCTTACTAAAATTGCATTTGGACAGACAAGATTGGTTTGCATTGTTTGTGGCACCTATTAAACTATTATTGGACAATAAAGCTAGAATTTATTATAGCTGAGATGGTTAATAAGATTAATCGTGTTTAAACTAATATTGAAATCCTCTTTGGCTAACTTGGAAAACATTACCTGGGAATATGGTGCAGAGAGTTTAAAAATAAAAAAGCCATTTGTCAAAAGAATAACCTATTTATAGCAGTGTTTAACATAAAACTCTACAGACATAAGTATGAAATAACATAAATACAATTTTCAATTGTTTATATACCTCTCTATCAATCAATCAATCTATCTATCTATCTATCTATCTAGAAAGAAAAAATCTAGATCTATCTATCTATCTATCTATCTATCTATCTATCTAATCTAATCTCTGATATACAGTATATATATATAAATGGAAGAAAAGAAAAGAAGTCTTACGAAAAGGCAGATAAACATTTACATCTATAAGCTCTACAGCTATTGAATCCTTATACTTCCAAGCAGACCCACGTGTAATTCTAATCATGAAATGGTAATTTTCATAATTTCACTATAGATGATTAGAAAGACAACAGTACCAATAATAATATGGTAAAGAGATTGGTATGTGAGCCATTTGGGATTTACTTCAGCAAAGCCGCAAGTTGATCTGCTTCATGTGACACAGCAGTGATGCAGTGATTTAGATACAAGCATTGACTTAGTATGGAGTGCATATCACAGTGTAATAACACACTTTTCAGCAGGCTGACATTTCTGAAATAAAAATCTTTGTTTATTGTTCTTGTAATAATCTGGAGTCTAGGTTTCAATAATTGTCAAATTAATGGAAATCCCTGAAATATCTTATTCTGTGTGTAAAGAAAACACATAACGTGTGAGTTTGCCTTTTGAATAAAATTACTGGTATATTGTAAATGCATTTTTTATGTTATTGCAATTTATTCAGATGGATCTGTATAGTTTATGTCATGAATACACAGTGATTTTGAAAGCTGCAAGGGGGAAAAAATCAGCCATTGTTCTCCATATTACCACATAAGAAATATGTATGAACATAATATACACAAAAACTCTGCACTAAACCTACTTATCAGTTAGATGAACAGCCCACACTGTCTGTAAACCTCTGGTATTAAAAACTTTTTTCCTCCTTCTATATCTGAGCCGTAGTTTGTCTCCAACTCCTGCTTTGCTGACAGTTCAGTCTACACCCTCATCAGTCCCCAGAATGCACCTTACAATTTAAACCTACTAACCAATCACAAGTCCCTGTGGCAGTAACAGTCCCTGCTAACATTTGCACAACAAAAGAGACGACAAGCTGATTCATCACCCCCCCTTGCTCCCCCTTTCCCCTCTCCTCAAACCCTCTACTTAAGTCCTGTTCCCTTCCCAAGTGACTCCTCCTCTCCTGCCTTTGTGTTCAGATCCGAAATCCCCCCACGACTGACCCTCCTCCCTTCTGCATTAATCCCCTTGTGTCCTTTTTGATGCACTGCTTTGGCGCTAACTCTCACTACACCAAGACCCCTGCACCCCACTGGGCACACTGGTTTTCCCTCATTTGCTGACCTCCTCCTCTCCTGATTTTACACTGATTGGACAAAGAAGCTAATAGTGTATAATTCTAGCAGATTGTTTGCATGTTACACAATAACATACAGGTGCTGGTCATAAAATTAGAATATCATGAAAAAGTAGATTGATTTCAGTAATTCCATTTAAAAAGTGAAACTTGTATATTATATTCATACATTACATACAAACTCATATATTTCAGATGTTTATTTTGTTTAATTTTGATGATTACAAATGACAACAAATGAAAATCTCAAATTCATCATATCAGAAAATTAGAATATTACTGAAGACCAATAAAAACAAAGGATTTATAGAAATGTTGGCCAACTGAAAAGTATGAACATGAAAAGTATGAGCATGTACAGCACTCAGTATTTAGTTGGGCCTCCTTTGGCCTGTATTACTGCAGCAATGCAGCGTGGCATGGAGTCGATCAGTCTGTGGCACTGCTCAGGTGTTATGATAGCCCAGGTTGCTCTAATAGTGGCTTTTAGCTCTTCTGAATTGTTGGGTCTGGTGTATTGCATCTTCTTCTTCACAATACCCCATAGATTTTCTATGGGGTTAAGGTCAGGAGAGTTTGCTGGCCAATTAAGAACAGGGATACCATGGTCCTTCAACCAGGTACTGGTAGCTTTGGCACTGTGTGCAGGTGCCAAGTCCTGTTGGAAAATGAAATCTGCATCTCCAAAAAGTTGGTCAGCTGCAGGAAGCATGAAGTGCTCTAAAACTTCCTGGTATGTGGCTGCGTTGACCCTGGACCTCAGAAAACACAATGGACCAACACCAGCAGATGACATGGCACCCCAAACCATCACTGACTGTGGAAACTTTACACTGGACTTCAAGCAACGTGGATGAAGTGCCTCTCTTCTTTTCCTCCAGACTCTGGGACCTTGATTTCCAAAGGAAATGCAAAATTTACTTTCATCAGAGAACATGACTTTGGACCACTCACCAGCAGTCCAGTCCTGTTTCTCTTTAGCCCAGGCAAGACGCTTCTGACGCTGTCTGTGGTTCAAGAGTGGCTTGACACAAGGAATGCGACAGCAGAAACCCATGTCTTTCATACGTCTGTGTGTGGTGGTTCTTGAAGCACTCACTCCAGCTGCAGTCCACTCTTTGTGAATCTCCCCCACATTTTTGAATGGGTTTTGTTTCACAATCCTCTCCAGGGTGCGGTTATCTCTCTTGCTTGTACACTTTTTTCGACCACATCTTTTCCTTCCCTTCGCCTCTCTATTAATGTGCTTGGACACTGAGCTCTGTGAACAGCCAGCCTCTTTAGCGATGACCTTTTGTGTCTTGCCCTCCTTGTGCAAGGTGTCGATGGTCGTCTTTTGGACAACTGTCAAGTCAGCAGTCTTCCCCATGATTGTGTAGCCTATAGAACTAGACTGAAAGACCATTTAAAGGCTTTTGCAGGTGGTTTGAGTTAATTAGCTGATTAGAGTGTGGCACCAGGGGCCATCAATTTTGAACCTTTTCACAATATTCTAATTTTCTGATATGATGAATTTGAGATTTTCATTTGTTGTCATTTGTAATCATCAAAATTAAACAAAATAAACATCTGAAATATATGAGTTTGTATGTAATGTATGAATATAATATACAAGTTTCACTTTTTAAATGGAATTACTGAAATCAATCTACTTTTTCATGATATTCTAATTTTATGACCAGCACCTGTAAGCTTTACTGCAAACAGATGATAAACAGGTGCTGTCCCTGGCTGGAAGGAAATAAGTAGCTAAAGATCAGTTTTTTGTTGCTTTTTTAAACCCTGTTGGGCTTTTCTTTTAATTGATGTTTAAGTGGTACAAATACAAATCATGGTTGTTTTGTTTTTTCCACTTTAAAGCTTAAAAAAATACAACGTTTTAGCCAAACCAAAAATAATGAACAGGATTTAAAATAATCTCCTAACATGTTACATATAAGGCTCGCATAGGGGACTGAGGGGAACCAATATAGAACTGAGCCTTTAGCACCCTTTGTGTTTTTACATAGAAACTGTGGACAAGTTGACCCCTGCACCCCTTTCACACACACATCCATGCCCCCTGTGTTTTCGTGGGAAGTCCCAGTCAACACAATACCCAATCACTTGAATTGCCAAAGATTAGTGTGCTGATTCAAGCAGGCACCTTAAACAGCATTTTTATTTCAATCACTGAAAGAATACTCCGATTCCATAAGCATTTTGAACATGTGCGATTTCATTTGTTGGGCTTCTTGTTATGTAAAAGAAAGAGGAAGAAATTTTGACTCTCTTGTGCGTTTCACGTCTTTCAAGCTTTTAAGGCTTAGCTGAGCGTTGGACAAACTCTATCAATACAATTAATTTGGTTCCTTAAACAATGGTGGCTTTTGAAACACCCAGCAACACAGTGTTTGACTTGGATTAATGAGTCACTCAGTACGAGTCCTTCTAAAGATCCTCCGCATCAATCTGAGTAAAGGATTGCCTTTGAGTGCTATGGAAGCCCTCTCCCACAGGCTCTCCTTTTTCCACAGACCCAGACCCTTCTTCTCAGCTTTCACCTCTGCCCTGTGTAGCCGTTTGTGCAGGCGCCAGTAGAGAGGCGAGCCTAGGGGGACCCCTGTGATGGGTGTCCTGCGAGCCAGGCCAAGCCGGAGGAGCTCTTCGTTCATGCAGTAACTCCATATTGACCCCTGCTGGAGAGATGCAGACAGTGAGAAAATTACAAAATAGAAGCTATCAAAGAAGAAAAGCTATTATGTTTGTTAGTTTACCCTCAATAAGATTGAAATTCAGTCCAGCTAACTAAGAGTTAAATAAATCATGTTCATCTTTACCAGCTAGATATTGAGAAATAAGTTCCACATTTCAAGATTAGATAATACTCATCCCATTATCATATTTTGCCTAAAATAATGTGAAAAAATATATATTTGTACAGTTTGACCCCAAATTGTTCACGCTGTGGGCAGATTTAGGTTTAAAGTAAACTTTAAAGTTAATCAACAAGCTTCTGAATGGAGGTAATATTAGCATCTTAAAAGGGCTTTTATCAAGTTCTGACTTGGAATTAACAGAGCATCAGTGGAGGAAGATTGGAATGATGGCGAGGAGGCCTTGTAACCTTCAAGTAACTATCTTGTTAATAAGGCACATAAACAAAGCTACATTTTCAAAACACTAGTCATGTATAAAACAGGTAAGCAATTACAGGAAGAGTATAATTGGTATAATGCCAATGATGGGTTGGTTCAGCTCCACTGTGCTGCAAATGTTTCCACCATTCTAATCTACACTGTATCCAGTGTGAAATCCAGAGCCGCACAAAGGGGTGTTTGCAGATCGCACCGTAAAAATGGTGATAAACGCTGAAATCAGATGAACACAACAGATTGTATGGATTTTAAAATAGTTAAAACTGTTTTTGAGCATCCAGATATTCCTATGTGTTATAATTATACAACGTGTGAGTGCTCTGTATGCAGAGAGGCTATGATTGCTGCTTAACTTGTTTGTTAATGTTAAACTTTTATGTTGTGACTAGCTAATATATATAGTCCAGTAATTGATCTAATGTGTGCAACTGCTAATACACACACACAAACTGATAGATGGTGCGATATGATTTTTTATAAATTGACTGCTGTCCAGTTCGAGACTAGAGCCATTCAATTTTGCGGGCTGGCTGTTCGCTCGTCAGCTCCATTGGCAGGTAGTGTAAATGCTATCATCAATTATAGTAGTTGTGTTTTTGTTGTATAAGTTTGCAGCTGAGCTGAGTTGAGCTGCAGCAGAGATGGATGCAGCTTCATTAAGGGTAAAGATTTCTTTGAGAAAGGGAAAAATATTTTTTGTATACCATTAAAAAATAAATAAATAATAAATAAGCAAATTATGTATTTTCTTCTAAACTGATACTCTTCTTCATTGCTTTAAAATCTTTTGAGTGTCAATTGTCAGATTTATTCACAACACTCTACAACATGTTAGCAGGTCTTTTTAGTAACAGTTCAAATTGGTTTAGAGGTTATGTGAACCATTTTGGCATCCAGAGTCGACTAGATTTCAATTTGTTTATTAAATCATACATTTTGATCATGTATCGTAGTCCCATATCATCACACATCCTCCAGTATCTTTAATAGTGTTCATCAGGTATTTCTTAAACATATTTATTCTTTGTTTCACACTTGACCGAATAGAAGTATTTGCTGCCAAATCCTTTAGTCTGTGTTAGTCTGTGATGACCAAAGTAGAGGAGTCCCCCCTACTCAATACATTTACATGAATGATAAACCACATAAAAGTATATTCCGGACATGCTTCCCTCAACATCCAGTTAGCAGGCTAGTGTTCTTCAACAGTGAACTTAGGTCATATTTTTTACCTTTCCTCTCATCCCTCTAACTGATCATAAATAAAAATGTCCTAATCTGGTCTCATTTGTTTTAAACTGCCTAAATTTCCACTCTGATTATAGATAAGGGTACGTTTATAAGTTATTTTCTTGTAGCAAATTTCAGACTAATAAAGGTTAACAAAAATCTACCTTACTTAAATGGCATGTTCTCTTATCTTCTACATTTTGAACACTGGGGAACGCAGAGTTGTTGTTTATAAATTAAATATTTCTACTATGAGCAAACTAACATGGAAAGTACATTACTCACCAAAATTAAAGAAAGACTTTGAAACTTATTATTTAAGCTTATATGGACTGCATGCAATGAGGGTGCCTCAGTGTTTGATTCAAGTAAAAATCATCATGCAACCTTATGTATTTTGTCAAAATTTTACTGAGAACTCGTAAGCCCCCACTGACTTGCCTTCAAAAAACTTGGAGAAGGTTAAGGAAATGCCCTCACATTGCTTTAATCAAACCTAAAACCGATTACAGATACAGTTTATGTGTATCTATTTGGTATGTTTGAACATCATGTTCATTTGTATGCAAAAGTCTCTGAAGTCATTGACATGAAAATAGGGGAAAGGTGCAACAATAGACAGAATACAGAGAACATTCTGTCGGTATGTCAACATATTTGTACAATTACAAATTAGAAGCATAGTATCCATCAGGTTATAATATATTGTGGAAAAACTCATTGCAATTCCTTCTATTATCTTATATTATGACACAAATAGCTTATCTCTGTATGTCCCTAGGTGTTGCTATACAAACAGCTGTGGTGCTGAAAAAGGAAACATGGCTGTGCTGTTATGCAAGTTATGCTTTAAGAATGAAGATCAATGGTTAGAGAAAATGAGAGTCGTCTCCATTTTTGTTGTTATGTTGTTGTTTAACTTTTTTTTTCTTTGAAACCGCAACCGGTAAACCAACAGTTTTGTTGTTTTGTGTGTTTTTTGTTTTTTTTCAGAAACTAAACACCTTAAAATGTTCTTTAACAAAACAAATCATTGCATACCCAGAAATTCTCCATTCATTTAAAAACCATTTCATGCAGTCATGAGTGACATTACTTTCAGAAACTCAAACAATTACTTTAAGTAGTTGCAACAGCTGGAATGTTCCTAAAACCTGCTCCACTGAATCTGTACCTCTGACCCCAAAAGTAAACTCCCCTAAGTTGAAGTTGCGTTCCTAAATGCATTCATGACTTTGTCATCTTAGGTCAGGAAAATGTGGCATCAAATGCCAAGAATTAGCAGTGGGTTGAAGGTTGCCTTTCATTAATGTTCTTTATTTTTTGCCAAACAAGGTATATGTTATTTGGACTTCACTAGTATGGATGACTGGTTTAAATGTTGAAATTTCACTGTTTCAGTGTGTAGGTTTATAAGATTTTTATCGCATATTTGAGTAGTGACTATATCACCAGATCTGTGTTGGATGTGGTGTATATACCAACCTTATCTTTTATTTGGTGCATATTCTAATGCAGTACATAATGCACTTTTACTATTAATGGTATATTTGTACATGCTTCTTTCATTTAAATAGAGGCATAGATTATCTTTACACCACTGCTCAAAGTTTAGGTGGCTGTTTCTGTTCTGATCTTCACCCAGAAGTTGTTTTGAGCATGTTTGTATCAGTTAAATATTCTTGAACTTATATATGAGTATATTACTGTAACGAATGTTGCGCAGTGGGTAGCACTGCCGCCTTGCAGCAAGAAGGTTCTGGGTTCGATTCCTGTCCCGGGGTCTTTCAGCATGCATTTGCATGTTCTCCCTGTGCATGCATGGGTTCTCTCCAGGTACTTCAGCTTCCTTCAGCAGTCCAAAAACATGACTGTTAGGTTAATTTGCTTCTGAATGGTTGTTTGTCTCTCTGTTACCCTGTGATAGACTGGTGACCTGTCCAGGGTGTACCCCACCTCTCGACCATAGACAGCTGAAGATAAGCACCAGCAACTGGGATTAAGTGTGACAGAAAATTGATGATTCCAGTTAGAATGTCAAATTTCTGGCTGGCCCATGACGGATAAGATATTTACTTCTTTGTTAAACTGTTTAAAATGAAAAATAAACTATTCAATTTATATTCAGTGTATTGACTATTGGTTCAATTTATTTGGTAACATCTATCAAAAGAAAACTGGCAATGATTACCTAATATTAGTGATTAATGTAACATAATGCAACAAAGTAAATAAATTTGTCAAGCAAAAAAAAAAAAAATTATCTACTTAATAACTTCATAACAGCAAACACAACAGGGATATAAGATTTACTTCAAATGTTAAGTAAATGTCTATGAAAAACATGTGCACTTTACATAATTTGTTTAAATAAATCTCCTTTACGACTTGGATGTAATTAAGAAAATGTCTTCTGGTCTATTGGAAAGTAAAATTCACTCGATACTGGCAAGTGAGTGTTACTTTATATTGCAGCATTAAATTTTACTTAAATCATTTGCTTGCAAATATTTACAATATATTCCTTAAAGCTGCAGTCTGTAACATTGAGGAGAGAGCAGACTTCGACTGAAAATTTGAAGAAAAACAGGTTTCACTCCACTCCCCCACCCTCTCTGCTTCACTCATGCCCCACCTCCAAGCTCCACAGCAGCACTCAGCACTCAGTGCTGCTGCTGAGCAGCAGCACTGAGCAGCAGCACTGAGCAGCAGCACTGAGCAGCAGCACTGAGCAGCAGCACTGAGCAGCAGCACTGAGCAGCAGCACTGAGCAGCAGCACTGAGCAGCAGCACTGAGCAGCAGCACTGAGCAAGCAGCAGAGACAGACAATCTACAGGACAACTTGGCCAACAACAGGCAAGGCATTAGCCTCCACCGACGGGCTGGGCATCGGCCTTTACCACCAGGCCAGGCAGGAGCCTTCGCCACCAGGCCGGGCATTAGCCTCCACCACCAGGCCAAGCCAGGAGCCTCAGACACCAGGCCAGGTCAACCACCACCACCGAGCTAGGCATTAGCCTCCTCACCAGGCCGAGCCAGGAGCCTCCGACACCAGGCCAGGCCAACCACCACCACCAGGCTAGGCATTAGCCTCCACCACCAGGCCAAGCCAGGAGCCTCCAACACCAGGCCAGGCCAACCACCACCACCAGGCTAGACATTAGCCTCCACCACCAGGCCAAGCCAGGAGCCCTCAACACCAGGCCAGGCCAACCACCACCACCAGGCTAGGCATTAGCCTCCACCACCAAACCAAGCCAGGAGCCTCCGACACCAGGCCAGGCCAACCACCACCACCAGGCTTGGCATT